TCGAAATAAATGAAAATGAAATGGTTTAGGATTGGGACAACGACAGGTTAACAAAAATTTTACTAATTTTATTAAATAATAAGTATTATATTTTATCTATTTTTATATTATTCTTACTTCTATATTAGTTTTTATTTATTTTATTTACTTGATACTGTCACATCACTTTCATTTACCGAACTAACCATTGTATACAAATTAGTCTGACCATAATCTAGGAACTGTCGAATGATACATGTCATTGCTAATTTACATTTTCTTATTCTCACGAATTATATCACTAAGTACAGTCATTAATAAACACGATCTAGTGATTTATCGAAAAGAGCGCGCAATATTATTTGATAACATTTAATTTACATTTACTTTATATAATATTATATTTACATTTTTGTTTTTCGTTTTAGTCAATTTAGTCATAGCAAACGTGCTTGTCGTTTAATGTCGAAACAGCAGGCGCATTTCGTGGAAAAAAAATCATCCGCCACTTTATGTCCAGCAAAGCAATGCCATAAACATAAAATAAACATTAAGACGTGTGGCGAATCTCAACTTAGATACCATACCATATCAGTTTTTTTTATCGTCAATCAATTAGCCTCCGAAGGAAACCAAACTGCATAGAATCGACGTAATGAAGTGATAATGACATTTTCTTTTATAGTCATTAGGAAACCGCATATATCCATAAATTAATTAAATCAACGGATTGGGGAAAAAAATGCAAAAAAGCGGAGAAGGATATTGCCAATGGTAAGTGCACCTAAAATAAAACATTCATCTCTGGACAGAACAAATTGGAGAAGGCCAAAGCTAAAAAATGAAATCAATCCTTTATAATATTTAAATGAATTTTTCAAATAAACTAGTTGACGCCAATTGTTTTCGTCCAATTAAATGGCCGCTAGGGGAGTATTGATCACGAAAAAATAAAATTCATTTTTTTCTCTATAACTTGTATAGGTAAACTATGTCGACAATGGTTCTACTCGTATACTACCACCCATAACTTTTATCTTCAACGGCAAAGCGATTCTAATGAACTTGGTCTTATTTGAAAGACTGTGATTAGCCCTTGAAGAAGCTATTTTTGTTTCGTCTTTTAAATTATACCGTCGCCGCTAGATATCCTTAAATGTCACTTTAACATATTTTCACATATATATATATATATATATATATATATATATATATATATATATATATATATATATATATATATATATATATATATATATATATATATATATATATATATATATATATATATATATATATATATATATATATATATATATATATATATATATATATATATATATATATATATATATATATATATATATAATATATATATATATATATATATATATATATATATATATATATATATATATATATATATATATATATATATATATATATATATATATATATATATATATATATATATATATATATATATATATATATTTCTGTATAGTTTAATTTTCGTTTGTTTTTTTAGCTTAAGCAAAGAAAAATAAAACTTTGTTATGTCTTCGATTATTTTCGTATATCTCGTCATTTGAACCATCAGCAACTAAAAATCACAAAAGAGTCAGTTAATAAAACTTAAATTATCTCCCGGTACGCCACTGAATTTAGAGAATTTAATTCTCATTTAAAGTGAATAGGAACAAATGTATCATTACATTTTTTTTTTCGAAAAAAAAATCAAAATAACTTACAGTGTCAGTTAACGCCATCTAGCGGCGGCGGTAAAGTTTGGAAAGACCAAACAAAGAAAGCTTATAGTACAGCCAATCACAGTCTTTCAAATGACACCAAGTTCATTAAAATCGCTTCAGCTGCACCGTTATGAGAATTTTTCTAAATTAAGTTAAAACTCACCCCACCACTTTATTTTATATCGGACAAAAATTTGTGCAAGATGATTCTGTTCAGAAAGTAGCGAAGATTAAGATGGTCATATTTATCGATGTACCTTATCTGGTATTTTTTCGATAAAATTCTATTTTAATTTTTTGAGATTATAATTGCGCCCCCTAGCAGCCATTCCACAAATTCAAAAATAGTTTTTTTCGTTTGACCACTTCAATCATAAATTTATAATAAGATTACGAGAACCGTTTCTACAGAACGTCCTGCAACACCCTCAACGGAAGGCACAAAACAAAACGATAGGCCAACGCAAAAGTTAGATCTGCCTCTAGCCGCGCAAAAAAGTTTTTCTTTTTTTTTGTGCACCAAGCAACTGTTATTTGCGGCACACAGAAAAATCCAACCTATTTCAACATTCAAAACTATTTTCCCGACAACTTAATTCACATCCTTCCTTATATAATAGACGCCGGAAAATACTCTTAGTTATATAAGAATATACCAAAAATGTTTAATTATTTTAGTCCCAATAAAAGCCTAATTATTATTTTTGAAGACAGTAATGTAGCCTTTTAAAAAAAAATTCTTTCTCAGATTCAAAATTACCCAAAAATTATTTTTCAAACATTCTCATTATTTTCGATTTTTATTGAGAAAAATCACTTCAGGACCAATTATTATATTCTGGCACATCCTGTATATAAACAGATCAGGATGCATATCGTTTATTTTTTAAAGGTATCTAGTTGAAATGTACACCAACTACAGTGTCTGGTGAGCCCCCATAGACTGAAATTCCTATCTAAACATCTATTTCAGCTTTGAAAATAGTTTAAAATTTTTGTTTTTACTAGAAGCACAGGTACCACCTACAGATCAATGGTAACTGCCAATTATTCGGAAACGAGAGAATACATCAGTATGATTCAAATATTTACATCGAATGAAATGAGATTAATGACCTAACAACAATAACAAATGCGTTTAATTAGTCTGCTACTAATCACTTGATTGATTGCTTTTTGAAAAAAAGTGTTCTTTGTCCAACTCGAAATTGGTTGATATGTTTGATCGTAACGAAATGAAAAAAAAAAAAAAACACGGATCGTGATTACTTATCTCGCCTTGCCTTTTTGGAGAACACAGAATAATGCCTTTTAATTTTATAAAGCAAAAAATGTTCTAAGATTCTCTGTGGAGTTTTCCATAGCGTTTTAAGTCAAAAAATTATTCGTCCACTTTAATGAGTTTGTGAATTTAATAAGAAAATATGTTATTGAGAGACATAAGAAGAGATAAGTAAATCTTCCTTCGTTAAACTTTTGACATTAATTACAAACCTTTTATGGCATTATTTTTCTGTTGCACATTGCTTATTTGCATAATGTTTAACACTAAGTCAAAACACTATACCCAATAATTTTTATTATAACCCCCAAATTCTAGATAGTGGTAAATTGTGCACATTGATTGTGTTAAATTGTAAGCCGTTCCAAGAGCGACCTCTAGGGGGCTCAATAGTGATTAAGAAAATGGAGTTTTTCCTAAATTTTGCCTATAGGTAAGAGGAGTTATATTCTGATTTCAATTTTATTATTTATTATAATTCAAATAAAAATACTTTGATGTCTATAATAAATATATGGAATATGAGAATACTTAAAATGCTAGCACAGGTACTCTTTGTAACACCATACTTTCATTTTTATTAAACAAAACCAGCTAGAGAAATTTGATTGCTGTCATCTTTCGTTTTACAAAGGAACAGTATTGTGAAAATCGAATCTTGAATTTAAGATAAGTGAGATATATCGAAAACGCCCTAGCACAGATTTTTCGGAAACCGATCAAAATTATCTACCCATCCGAAAGCCCAACTAATTAGGATCACTGTCACGTAAACAATAAATATGCGAGTACTTAATATGTACGGCATTTTGAAACCCATTCTTAAGTCAAGTAATGTGTTGAATAAAAAATTATCTGAGGCATTGCACCCAAATTCCATTTTTTCCCCTAGAAGGAGTTGTTTAAGCCCAAGTAACAATCTAAAGCTTATACTTTTCATAGCTTAAATATGAAGCTCATAAAGTTCCAGTCAAAATGTAGTAATAGACTTTTTAAATTAACATCATACTTCAATTCTTTAAGGTGACATAAGCGAAGGTCATCGATAGGAAACATCGCCCTGATTTGAGACACACCGTATCTATCTTGTTATGCTAGGTCTAATACGATATTGGGTATTCTCTTTACCTATAAAATGTGGCTGCAACATAAAAAGTGGCCGATCAAGTTCACACAATTGTTCTATCTAAATACAAACCATAGTGAAGTTATCTGTTATTAAAACACCATTTATAAGCTGTATAGTTTATGCAACATATAAAAATTGCGACAAATGGCAAGAGAAAGTTGGCGTATTTTATCCACAACGATTAATTTAACTTTTTATTTATAATCCTACCTAACAGCACTTTCTTTTTCGTAAAAATCCATTTCTCTGATCGTCGAGTGCGAGATTAATGAAAGACGGCGAATTGTTAACGAAATAATATAAATAATGTGGGCAGGTATTATTGCAAAAGGCCAATTGCAACTGTACCTTCTCGGTTGTGCAAGAATAATTGAAATTTATTTTCACAGTCACGTTTAAAAAGGTCAACATACATCTTTTCGTCGGCAATTGCTTTGGAGGAAAGAGTCTTTATTATGCCAAACAAAGAACAGTTATGGTAAATGTAATAAAACACTGATATACAGTTATGTGAGGCTGTCTACCTGTCCTACTAATTAATAATAATACATTTCTTACCTTTACTGTTACTTAAATTTGACGAATATGATTCCCCAGGAAGTTCAAAGATAAAATTAAACAGTTCGTCTAAATTATATACAGCTAAAGTTTTGGTTATTATATCAATACAAGCAATTCTAAAAGATACAAGCAAAACCAGTCAACATGACAGATGACAGCGCTTTGGTTGTCTAGAAAAAATAGTGGCTACGTTGTGAATTGTAATAATACAACAAACGGTTTATTTAAGCAGCAAAATCAATCGTTGGGCGACAATGCCAACAATTACTTTAAGCATCACAAAGAAGCGCACACATACCTGGGCATTATTTGTATTCACTTCCTCGATTTTATCAGTTTCCATTTTGATCATCTTCTCACTGTTTTACTACCGCCGCAGAAACTGTACACCAAAATTTTCAATTATATTCTTCGATGTGCACTTTCAACTCACTTTCACATAATTTTCGAACAACGAATTGGTAATTTTTGTTCTAGGATTTGATAATAAACTCATTCAGTACCCTTCCTCAACGAAGTGTACCAGAATGCAAAATGACACCGAGTGAAAAATGACATTGATGACACGCGATAAAAACCAGAAGTGCTGCCAACTTGTCGAAAATGATTACCCCCAGATTAGTCACAAGTCACGTCATATTGTAAATTTTTAATATTTATAAACATGGGAGTGACGTGAGGCAAATAATGTATTTATTTGTATATGATACAGCAAGAATCAACCTCAGATTGGGTTTAATTTACTTTAGCGGAATTACGTGATATGTAGGTAAGACCGTGTTTTATCTCGTTATATAATATTAGTTTTATTTTACCTAAGCTATAACCAAATGTTTAAAATACAGGTCGTGAAAGCGGATAGCTCGCTAACTCGACTATTTTCAACAGCCAATTTGGAAAATTTTACTGAAAATGGAAAGAAGATAATTGGAATTGCAGCTAATTATAAGTAAAATTCAGATTTATCGTCCCTCGGATGTGATATAACTTCATCCCTTGTATTATAGATCGCTGTTGAAAGTATTAAACAGAGGAAATCCAGATAACCCGCCCATTTTTTTGAAACCCAGTACTTCGTACATCAATGAAGGCAACAAGATCATAGTAGGTAAAGTGAAGATGTAATCTTTCACACTATTGGGATGTCTAGCACAACCAGAAAACATTTGTTTTCAAAACCATCTTAATAAAAAGTGGTTATCTAGAAAGGTGAATTATGTGGTTTTTATTTCAGATTCCAAAGGGGTTTTCTGTTAATCAAGAGATTGAACTTGGCGTTATTATTGGGAAGAAAGGTAAGAAGATAGCTGTAAGAGATGCCATGGATTTTGTAGGGGGTTACACAGTAGCCTTGGACATGACTGCTACAGATCAAATGGTGAGTTACAAATTTTGTTGATGTAGCTATGCCTATAATTTCATTGAACCTGTTAAATTTGTAAAAAAAAAAACATTTAAAACGTATAAAAATAGCTAAATTGAATTTGTGCTTAGCATAAACCACCAACTGTTTTAATTTGAACCACCATCTACTCAATTGCAATATTTTTATAGAAAAAAAATTAATTGGTATTTTAGGCCAAAATAAAAGCTGTCGGTGGTAGTTGGACTTTGGCGAAAGGGTTCGATACAGCCTGTCCAGTCAGCAAATTCATCCCCAAAGAAAAAATTCCCAATCCACACAATGTGAACATTTGGTGCACTGTCAATGGGAAAGAAGTGCAAAAGGGTAACACAAATGACTTGTTCTTTAAAATTCCAGAACTGGTATCATATCTTTCCAAATATTTCACATTGGAGCCAAACGATCTCATCATTACCGGTTCCCCGCCAGGCATGAGCCCCGTCACAAAGGGCGACGCTATTGAAGGAGGAATCAAAGATGTTGTGTCCATAAAATTCGAAGTTGACGAAGAAAAATAATGATAATTATGCAGTCTTTTATTGAAAAATAATTATAAAGGTATAATATTTAGCCTTGGGATTTGTTTTTGAGACTTGCCATTTCTTCTGTGTCGCCCTCAGCATAGTAAGAGTAAAATGTCAGCGAAGATACAACTAATCCTATTAAACTCCCTGCCACAACATCTGAAACATGCAAATGTGTCAATGTTTTAATGTAATAATAACCGCATAATTTTGTGTTGGAAATTTGGATTCTAGCAGATAGATTTGGGTAGATTTGATTGTCAAAAGGCAAGGCAGAAATTAAATAATCTGTTCAAAGATCAAAAGTGGGTCTAGTGGTGAATAATTGATAGTGTCGACCTTGTATCAATACAAAAATTATCCACCATGAGCAAGCCTTCCACTTCTAATAAAAAAATAATTGTTTTTAAAGCCATGATATACCAAAAAAATGCTTTTTGTTTTCAAAAGCAAAACTAAAAAAGATTTCTACCAATGCCCCGTCTTTGCCGATTTTTTACCGCAATTCTTTTTTGTTTAATGGCATTATTTTTGTTATACAGTAAAGCACTTTTTTTTTCAAATTTTAAGGAGAACATTTCTAAAGCCTGGCTAAGTGATATCTTTACTAGTTTTTACATCCCCTTTTTCCAAAATTTTAAATTTTTTTGGATGATTTTTTAACGTTCAGTTCCCATGATCCAAGTCGTAAGGACTGATTTGAATTAATTTAATATATTCCTCCTAAAATAGGGTCGTTCAAAATTAGCTGTCATTCATTTGCCAAATATCTTCTAGTCCACAATCTTTTTTAGCCATTTCGAGTAGTTTAGATAGAAATAAAATATGCTGAGGTACATCTATTTAAGATTTTTTTATCTCGCCAATCCATTTAAAATATTCAGACTCCAAGCCACTCATAAAGCTTTGAGGTCACGGGTAAGTGGTAAATAATTGGAAAAAAATGTTTGCCCCAAGCACAATTCCAGCACTTCTGTCTTGTTTTCCACAAATAGAAGATTAAGCTTTCTTATACCAAGGTTAATATAATAATCCACACGCACACACGAATTTTGGGATAGAAGGGGGAGGAGAGACCTCCAAGCCCCCCGGCGATGCCCTTGGCGCCCCTCTACTTAGGAACACATAGTGGTCACACATATTATTAGTTAACCATACAACGGTTCATACCAGAATAATGATGGTGATAATCAGACGTTCTACTCGCCGCAATTAAGATGGCCGCCAGCATCGGGGCGCAACACAAACTGAGCCTGCATCCTTTTAATCGATGACTTGTCTTCACTTTCAAGAATTGAAACAAGTGAAGCGATATGAAAAACATCATCGCAAACATGAAACTTGTATAACCACTTGGAAAGCTTTTCCGCCCTGGAATGTTTTTAAGCAGTTTTTTTGGGATTCTTACACAATCACGTATATCGCACTGTTTTTGATGTAATGTCAAATTAATTAGTGAGTAATGGTAAAATATGTGGAAAAAAATTCCCAATTTGTCAAGTCAATAATATACTTTATATTTTTCTTTAATTTTTTTTTTTATTGCGAGTGTACCATCATCACTAATCCGGAAAGCCATTAAATTATCCAAATTTTAATTGCCTGACTTAAACCTTTTTGATTATTCATCATTTTTATTCAATGTTGTTTCAGTCAAAATTTGGAATTTTATTTTGAAGGTTGGCTGGCGAAAACCTAGAATTTGCAAATGCAAATTTAGTAGGGACCCTGCTAATGTCCAAAACTGTTCAAAATAATATAAAATATTGAAAATATACCGTCCATAATTTCCTTGATTTCTCCTGTACATTCATTAATATCCGTTCCATAACCATCTGGAAAACATCTCATGAAGAAACTGGGTCTTGGCCTGCCCACCAGCAACTTTAGAACTGTTGTAAAAATGCCGTTAATTCCATAGATCAAAGTGAGAGCGTACACTCCTTTAATTATGTCTTCTTTCTTTTTGTTTATCCAATATTCAATCGAATACATCACAGCTACTAAGAGGAGTACTAATATGTGCAATGTAAACTTTGAAATGATTGAAGGGACCGAAGGGTATCTGTACATCCATAACTCCTCCTCCTCAATAAACCGAATGAAGGGCGTCTGTTTCTCTAACCAACTTAGGCAAATAAAAAAAAAATCAAAATTATAAAATTATTTTCATTTCTAAATAAAATATCACAATGAGCAAAATTATCAAACAAATTCCCATAATAACATTAAGTAAACACAGTTAAGACCAGGCCTTTTTTGTCACTTCTTTTTGGGGGGCGCATTAATCAATTAACAATTTTTTGCTTTTTCTATAATTTCCAAATTTCCTGCATGCCCCCGCAAAAAAGGTCTGGTTTACACTATGGTTTAATGACTATTGGCTGCTTAAAGTTAATGGTTTTTTGTACTGTTTGTTTTTCCGTCATTCTCCTTATATGTTACTGAAAATGAACCAATGCTCAATTTTCTTTGACTAAAGCAGTTATGGAAAATAAGGCAAAACTTACAGGAAAGTGATAATAAGACCAAGCCTTAAAACTGTTTCAGAGACATGATCTGAATATTCCATTTCCCAACAATCTGTTTGTCCATTTCTCAAGTTAAACTGGTCTCATTCATCAAAAATTTAGTTTTTTCATTAATGCTACGAAATTTGACATAAAGTGACACTTTCAAAACAGTCATAGACAATTTGATAAATCTGTGTACTATTGCATTATTATAAGTTAAAATTTAAAATAAATTTTTAGGTAAAAAAAATGTATATGGTAAATTAATAAATCAATTGTTAAAACTATTTTGTATAGGAAAAGATCGGATTTTTTACAGTTTTATCATATCCGTGATATTCTATTGAGTCGACAATATATTTTCTATGGCTCCTGCATTCCGTTCCACACTTCTGACTTTCACATTTTGGGCACTCAAACCAACAACCCGGACATTTCTGGTTAAGACAATCACACATATCCAATCCCGATTGCAAGTGTGTTCCTTGTTCATCATATACAGCACCGAATGGTCTTCGAACTGTAGTCTGTGGAGTGGTAAATTTTCTACTTATCTTCCTACGTTCTCTCTGACTTAAATCTGGATTGAAAGTTTCCATTGACTGTTCAAAGGATGATGATGTGTTCGCTATCGCCTTGGATGCATTTCTTGCAGCTTGGCGGCGAGTTGCATAGTTTGAGGTAGGTGCACTCGCTGTCTGAGTTGTAGACTTTCTTGCTGTTCGATTTTCTCTGGCATTCGTTTTAGGGTTGTACTCTTCCTCAGAGCTTTCAGAGTCACCCATTCTAATAAAATCAGCCAATTTTAATTTATTCTGGGTAATCCTGCTGATTACATTTTTAAAGGATAGGGTCATAGATAACAAAATTGTAAATTGGCGCTACCATAGTTCTTTAGACCCGAAGAATATGGGTATTTCTGAAGTAGCGTATTCAGTGGTGGAGGAAATTTTAACTGTGGTCACCGATGACATCCAGTCGCACAGCGTTGCCAAACTGTTTTTATTCCATTTAACCAATCAATTATATAAAATAGCAAAATTTGCCCGTTTCAAAAAAATTAAAAGCATGCACTAATAAAATTCACATCCTCTTAGTTTTTCGATTTTATTTTTGAAATTAACGCATAAACCGGTAAGAATGACATTAAATTTTCAAAGATCTTAGTCAGTTTTGGGGATAACCCGTACTCTAAAAGTCTATAAGCGCCAGGATCCTGTCTTAAAAGATGCCTTCCGGAGAAAACAAACTGTCTGCTATTCCTAAGTATCTTCTTAATCCATTCAAAATAAGGAATTGGGCAAAGAGTATAATATAGATGGGAAGGTCGCATATACTGTTACGAACGCCATCTAATATTTGTGTCCAAGTACTAAACTACTATAATGGCGGTTTAAAGTAATGCGTCACACTAAAAATACTACAGTAGCTTGTAACGGATAACAGCACTTTATAATTTAATAAAAAAATTTTTTAAACTATTTCAACATAATTTTTTTTTCACATTTTACCTTTCAAACTTTAAATTGAATTAAACTGTACGTCCCGCGCGTTTTCCGTTTTCATAACTGGGCAAAATCACTAGAAGCGTTGAAACTCGTGTACTCTTTTTAACATTGCCACTAATGGGAGTCTTTCCCCCTATCTTATACTTGGGGTGCTGCGAGATATTTACCAGGTATAGTCTGTTCATAGATATAAGAAAGTGACCAATTGCTTTTGAATGGGATTATCCAAGGGTGTTCATTAACATACAATGCAACAAGATTATTACCTAAAGTTTCGGAATTTAAATTCAGGTAAAATTGTGGTCCGTAATACAAAATAATTTTATACGTACCTGTGTTTAATATTCCTTGGTTTGGAATACTACTTAGTTTAAGTTTATTAGTAATCATTCTTATTTCGTGTGTAATACAGCGTGTGTTGAATCGTGTGCGAATTATGCAAAATATGTGCGAGTCTAGTGTATCTCAGGAGATGCGCTCGCCCAAATGTAGAAAATGCTATTCTATTGAGACTAAGGAAATTATGAACAATGTTTATTTGACTCTCATTGAACGTGGTGCCACACTGACGAAAATTCCAACACCAACTGTATGGAAAATTGTGAATAATCTCATTTCAACGAGGAGAAAAAGAAGCGATGCTGACATTTTCTCGAGCGTAGATGAAAGTGATCAAGACATAATACCCCGGAAAAGGATTGGGTTGACTCAACTGATAAGTGTAAAACAAACGCGCCATCAAAAAGAGGTAAAAGAATGTAAAGATGGTTGGATTCCAAATGGACTTTCTCGGTCAAGTCAAGTCAATTATGCGTTTCACAAAAAATGTTGGGCGAGACTGCTAGGATCATTTGCCCATTGCCGACTTCCGTCGAGGATTTTCGCTTTTGGTCAATTGACCACCACGTACAAAGAAGAAAAATAACCAATAATTTGCTCAGCTAGCAAAAAACGATTCTGACCGATACCAAAAAAAATCGGCTTCCCCCCGCTTCCACCGCGGACCATCCGGGCCTATCCGGCCTCCATACCGGCGTAAACGGAGAAAAACGACGGGGCCGACGACGATTATCACTTTAAGACGTACACTGAACACTCAGAACACTAAATCCACACCGTGGAAACCGATATCAAACTTTTTGGGGCGAATACATGGGATTCTGTCGGGAGTGAACGGAGGTTAAACCGCCGCGTGCAATGCTCCACCACAGAATCCGACTTTCTCGGTCTGCGAAAAATATTAAAGATTCTTCTCTGGATTGCCATGAAGACTCCACCGCTGATTTATTTTAAGTAATTTAAGTAGGTAATAAAAATAATTTGTAATTTTATTTTAGATTTAAACATAAATATATACATAAATAAATCAATATTGTTTAGTATCTTTCCTAACAAAACCCCAAATAATTAAATTACGGAACTGTTCGGCCATATTTCATTCTTACAGCTTGCCCGGGTCTTTCCTTAATTCGTATCAGTTAGTCACTTTCTTATATCTATGAACAGACTTTACCCTGCGTTCGTATTTAAAATTTTTGCTCAATTAAAAGGCTTGCAAGCTTTAAGTTATTTATTTTTAAATATAATCAACTTTTAAATACAATAACAAGAAAATAAAAAGCACCATCTCGTTCACATTCTGTTTTACATATACATATATAAGTAGCGGACAGTACGAAACGTAAATAAAAACACATTCACGTTTTTCTAAAACGTGGGAAAAGTATGTAAAAATGTACACAGTTAAAGAAAAAAAGTTTTAACGTGGTGATAAAATACTCGATGTATTCCATATGCTTACTGTTGGTAAGGAACTATATATGGCTTACCATATTTTAAGCATTAGGCATTTGGCACTAAATCAGAGTTTCGGAAACTACAGCGAAGGTAACGAAATAATTCGTAAAAAAAATCGGTAAAAAAGTAACGTCGATGCAAAAAAAAATAGTCTAAAATTAGGTAGATATTCTCTAAACTTTACCTTATAAAAATACACGTAGAATGAAAATAGGGTCAGGGGGTTGATTCGCTAGCTTCGCAGTCTTAATATACAAAATCGTGCATTTTACGGTAAAAAACACATTGTTTTATTTTTGATTGCGAAAAGGGTTACTTCAACGTGACATCTACAATAAGGGGGAGAAACGACCGACTGTAATCAATCGGTGAGTCACCACTAAAAGGGAATAGATAATTGACGGTCACAAGGTTTTTTTTCAAAATTTTTCCCTATTTTACATAGTTCTACTAAATTTGTAACAACTGGAGAATCAAATTAATTAAATAGTTTTTACACTGCCAATAAATTCACGAATCTCCTCATCGCGTTCTTGACAAAACACAGACTATTAATTAATGAAATATACCGTCAAACGTCACTTGACTGTTTTTGGAGCGACATCGAAAGATGGCGGGATGGAGGTGATTAAATTTAATAAAAAACGTTTAAAAAAGAGTCCGAACAGTTTAAACCGTTTTTGAGGGTCGTGGGCAAGCCCCTATAGAGAAAATGCAGACAAATTTATTTCTGCCAAAACAGTGTAGTCACATATGGCAGTTTGAATGAGAATTTTCCAGAAGAAAATTGTTTTAAGGAAAATTTTCCAGAAGAAAATTGTTTTTTTATTATTTTATGAGGATAATTATAACTGTTCATTTCCTAGTGAAAACCAGTGCCGTTAAGTCTACTTCTAAAACCTTAACTGTAGATTGCAGTTGGACATAGAGCTTAAAGATTGCGTTACACAGTTAATGCCGGACGTGGCAATTGGAACATTCATTCCACACACAAACGGATTATACATATGGACCTTGGAGCCAAACAGTGTAAAGTTCAATTTTTTACGATTTTCGGTTTGTGAGTGAATTTTAAGTCAAATATTCAATTATATTCTGCTAAAAATACCATCTACCCCATTTCTTGTATGGAACAGTTTTTAGTATTGTGAATACTGATTGGTGAAGTATTAAGTTATTATGTACAAATGTAAAGGTTAAGTTGTGTGACTTAATACTCATTAACATTTACGTAGCTTCCTTAGAAATTCATTACTGAAAGAACTTTAATATTTCGCGAATATTTTCAAAAACACACCCCACACATAGTCTTTTTTCCGAGCGCTAGTTCTTTTTCGTATATCAGATCAAAATTAATTAAAAAGAAAAAGAAGTAAAAAAAAACACGTTTTTGATTTCCTGCGTTATCTTTCGAGTACCAAACAGAATTAAGGTACAAAATGCCGCATTAAGTCGTGATTTATTAAGTTCATTTTAAGGGCTAATCAGTATCAAATCAAATCAATACAATTTAATACAAAAGTTTCTTGTATTGATTTCAACTTCTTAAGTATATTACTGGTGTGTATACAGGGAGTATAGTTCTTTCAGTTCAGTTATTTTAAATATTGATACGGCATTCAGAGAATGCGTATCAAGACGAAAACTGTTACGACAAAAATATTTTTAATACCTCTCAATTCTCATGCATACTCAATTATAGTACTGTTTATGTTAACGTTTGCTACGAAATCAAATTTTGAAGTGATGAGCCACATTTCGCGTTTTGTAGACTTACCGTATTTTTTTTAATGGCACCCCTGTATACTTACTTTTAAATTAAGCATTGAAACACAACTTCAATTACATATAATAGTATGGGTCTACGGTAACCGTTTCGGAATTATTGACCATCATCATTATTTTCAGGTTATCAATTGCTAATAATTATATTAAAATTATTTTATTTATTATTTGACTAGCGGTAAGAATAATAATAAACAAATTCTAAAAGTATAAAATATTAGTTTTGTTTCGGATTTTTTGCAATAAAATAAAGTAAATTAGTTATTCGATCGGTATGATGAATGTGAATATGAAAGGGAGTAAATTTACAAATGTGAAATGTGGCAACACTGTAAAACGTTGCCCACTTAAAAATTTGCTGCAGCACGAACTTTAATTTTCGGAATTTGAAAAATACTTGAAATAAGAAAGTTTATACCAGTCCACAAAAAACTAAAAAACCTGTACACTTAAAAACCATATATTAAGCTCCATGGTCCAGATATTTAAAGAACGCAATATTGTCATCCCTCATTCTTTTTAAACCACAAGTCCGTACAACTCGAACGTTATATAAAACGTATCCATCAATTGGCGTGACAGAATATTGGTACCGCTTAAACTTTACCTTTACATTAAAAGTACTTTAAAGTTTTATATAATATTTGTCGTAAATCAAAATCAAGCTTCTATTTTGCTGGTGGAGGTTTACACAACACGACCTAAAGCTGGCCCACCACGAAGACTAATGGGGGCTATACACATGCAGGCAAGTCCGCGAGCAAGTGCGAAACGAATTGCGGCCACACACTATTCAGGTAAACCTCGAGGTTCACCAGTTGGTGGGGCGTGCTGCTGTGCGAAAAATGAAGTTGGCCTTCGCACTTGCTCTAAAAATCAGACACAATCTGATTCGCTTCGAGCCGCGCTTGGAACTGAACGCGCCTTGAGTTTTAATCCATACAAATTCGCACTTACTCGTGTGTCTCGACCTGTACAGGCAAGTCTTAACACTTGCCTGCATGTGTATAGGCCGCTTAACGCTCATCATTCTGAAGTTATCATCTTACAAAGTCTGCGAGATCGCCATACTACATCTGTAGGAATCAAAAATCGATTTGGAGAAGCCAATTTGGCTAATCATAGACCTGCAACATACCCGGAGCTTCTTAGATATTATTCGGTTGCACGGATTTAGTTTTGCAAGAATCGTGAACCAGCAAGAGATTGGAAAAAGGTTTTGTTTTCTGACGAATCAAAGTTGAATAACGTGGTTCAGATGGTAAAAGGCTTGATTATAAATACATTTGTCCAACGGTTAAGTATGGTATGGTCGCTTGACAAATATTTAATTAGGTTATGAAGACATGACAACAACCCAAAATACCCGGCTAAGGTTGTCCAGCGGCGGTTGTATTGGTGTTGTATTGTATAGAAAGAAATTTGAAGAGGAAATCAAGCCGAATCATTACAAATTAAAAACGTTTGGTCCTCCATTCGTGAAAAAAAAAAACCAAATAAAGTATAGTGGACCAAATATTAAATATAAGGATTCATACCTATTTTTAGCAGAAAAAATACAAAGATGCTTCGATTTTGTCGAGGTAATAAAAAGATTTATTAAATTTACTTTTGCTTTAAAAACCATCACCAGCTTTATTTTACCAATCACGAACTTAAGGTATTCTAAAAGAATTATTTGTTATGAAATTTTCTGAAAGTAACATTAATTTTGTCTAATATTGTAAGTCCAGAGGCAAACCCAATTATAGGTGAAGAATACGAAGTCATGGTCTTGCTCCTTTAACTTTAAAAGAATTGCAAAAAGCCCTATTAGAGAGAAGTCAAATCACTATTTGATTGATTTGAGAACAATTCAGACCGTTATACGCTTCAATACTGAAAACTTTCTTGACCTAATTATACAACATATTTTGTCCATAAAAACCTAGTTTTATAAAATGTGGCAATATACGTTAGGACAAACATTCCTTTTTACTTTAAAATAAAATATATATATATCTAGTCACAACCGTTTGGGGGAACAATTAAATATAGCCAATATAGTATTTTTAGTAGCAAAAAGATATTTATTAAAAAATAATAAAATGGTCAAAGTTGGCCAAAACTTTATATAAGTAGACTAAGCTTTCCTAACAATGAAACTAATTTATCATCTTGCCCCGCTCTAAAAAATGCCATTTAATGTATAGGTTATACGATATTTTATAACTTTTTCGTTTTTTATCTGATTTCCCTGATCACTTTATCAGTTTGTAGATCCATTTATTGTTTTTCCTGAATTTTTTTATAAAGCAAAATTTTTTGATTAGGCTATATTATACGGTGGTAAACCAAACTGTTGCTTTCTCTTGTAACTTCAAAAAACTCCGTGGGAAAGTTAAGGTATATAATTTTAGTTACATACTATTCGTTGTGATCTTTGATTTATTTTAAACATTTCGTTTTTTGAATCATTCCATTATCTAATTCCTGCTGAGAGCTGAAACATTTTTATTGAGACGTTGTCTTTTTAGAAAATCCACATTAAACACTTGTGTTTTTATAGTTTTCATTTGCAGAAATAACTGTTAAATTCATTGGGTCAGTTGTTCTAGATGGATTTTTTTTTTACCCATTTTAGATTCTATTTTAACACAGTTGCTGACTCAAAAGAGACTTAAAAGAATTATTTATACCCGGTGACACAAGAATATGGGAACACTATAACTTTTAAACGGCTTGAGAGAGCGATTTGAAATTTGGAAGGGTTAATATAGGCTGAATGTCCACTTTTTTGACAATATGTAGTTAATGGTAGCACTTCCGTTTTGAGCGAAATCGACAGTAAGTAACTTTCGAACTTTAAATGGCACAACCTACATTTTTTGTATTTTTGAATTCAGATATTCCATGTAGGATAGGACGTTTTTTCTCATTTTTTTTGTTTTTTAAAATTTATTTGTTTAATTTTTGAAAATTGTGTCTAGCAGGTATCATAAATACTATTTACCGGGTCACCTGATCATGGGAAAATTTTTCAGGAACACAGCCTGTCAACAGAAAAGTACGTGGAGGTAACTTACAAGTTGTAAATAAAGCCAAAAGTGGTCAATTACAATAAATATATAGGAGGTGTCAACCGCGCAGACTCCTATTCAGGATCATACTGTTTTCTGAGGAAGTCTTTGAAATGGTGGCGAAAGAAAAGTACATCGAACTGTCTAACCAATAACATTTAAAGTTTGTTCGGGAACTGGTTGACGAGAAGACAAAAAACTTTCGGCAGGGGCCAAAATTACATATTTTACGCCAACATGATGGAAAGAAAAAAGACTGTGCGGTATGTTCTAACCGTAAAGTACAAGGCGGCAGGCGGGAAACTAGGTATATTTGTGCACTTGCACCCGAAAGCCTGGACTACACATTGGTAATTGCTTCAAATGGTACCACACACTACAACATTATAGGATGTAATTTTTTTATATTGTATATAAATTTATTTTATGATAATGGTAGTAATGGTAGGGATTATGATAATGTTAGGTTTTATTTATGTTCCTCTATCCTCAAGATTTATTATTTTTATAAGCAATTACTTTTTATTTAGTGTTTTTCAAGTTATTTTTCATGTTATAATAAAAAATAAAAAAATCCGAGTAGACAGATAAGTAGATAAAACAGTAGTCCGGGTACAATGTACTCGCGAAAGGACATACGAGTGCAAATATTAATAATTATGGCGTATCAACATTACCATGTAAAATTTGGTTATAATTTGGTGCCATTGTGCCAAGATATTGAAATATTAGGTAATACATCAATTTTAAGTATGAGCCATATGGGATTTAGTATCCGGGGAGAAGTAATTCAAAAATTGTGGAGGGTTAGAGGATCGTCAATAATATTTTCTTTCAAGCAGGTAGAGTCATTAAACTTTGACGATGACCTTAAATGTAGTGCGGAAATTTTATATTTAAAGATATTCCCCATCTTGGTTTTGCAAAAATATTGAAATTCTGGTAATAATTGTGAAATTTTATGCTATTTCTTTTTAAAAGAATCAAAACTAAAAAATTCCACGACAGTTCCACTCTGTAAGCATTTCAAAACATCTTAGTTTTTTTTCTAAAAAGTACTGAATTTTTAAGTCACGCCATAGATGGTTTGTAATAACTAAATAAACTTATTTTATTAGAATTTGAAATTGCTTCCACAAATAAACTCGTTCCACTGTGCGTCGTATGGAAGCGACGAGAAACTGCGACTTCTCGACGCGAACGGTACTGCCCTAGAGGGACGACCTGGTTTTCTCCTCGCACTAGCAAAATAGAAGCCGCCGCGAGCTAGCCCAAAAAAAACCTTTAAAAAACGCCTTATTGCTTTTTCGTCGCAACGTCGCGTAGATTAATAGTAATGAACGGACCGCGACGCACCCTGCGCTATAACATGCATAAAATATTCACATTTAACATAGTCATTTTTAAACATTGAAACTCGAACGTAATCTGGACCTACCGTTCTCTTTCTCTCTCTCTCGATTTAAACTTAAGTACGCTGGGTGCGGTCCCGCGCGAACGGGACCGTGACGTTTTGTTACGATTTGCGCGGCAAAAGGGAAACCTCCTCGCCGCGGCCATCGACCGTCTCGTCGTCGACGGGGCTGCTCTTCACCGAGCCGTTGATGTCCCCGCCCCTAGCGCTCAAACGGTTGGGGCTCGCGTTGCTCAAGCGAGCCGGCGTCTTCGGACTCTGCACCTGGTTCTCCGTCAATTCTTGGCGCGAATTCTGCAACGCGGTCAGGTTCTTCGAGGATTTCCTCCTGGGCGTCACGCCGCCCGAACTGACGTCGTCATCGTCGTTAAGCAACTGAAACAGGTACGTCAGGTTGCGTCCGTTGCGTCGTGCACGAGCAATAAACTTTCTTCGCTTAGGCACGAGTTCAACACCTATGGAGAGGAAAGGTATGACGGGATGAGAAGGGCAGAGGTGGATCTCGCTGTAACCAACTTAAAATGCTGATATTTATATCCTCATTAGTTATGTTGATGAGAAAAAATAGACTCTTTAATTCCTACGATTGGAGCCTTCCATGCTGATTCCGTTGAAACATCCATAGTCTCAGTCGACTGGGTTTAGAAGATTAGGAAACTCCAAATTTACCTCCTAACCAGCTGCGGAGTTCTAGTGAGGGCACCTTAAAGACAGGGCTCTTCTAGAGGCGGCAGTGAAGATGATAGAATAGAATAGGAAACCAGGGACGCAGCTTTGTGTCAAATTTGAATAGATTACAATAGTTAATAGTTTTTTTATTTTTTTCCATTCAGGGAAACGTACTGTACATTGTGTACTTGTGCACTCAAAACTACAATGGTTCAATATTGTTTAAATTCAGAGAAAAATTTTCCATTTTAATTTTTCGCACTTCCCCAGGCTACTGTGATACAATTTATGAATCTTCTGGATTCTTCCGGTGTCGGTTGTTGATGAATCGAACTTGCTGACGGTTCGCCAATCATCCTTTTGGCTTGTTCAGTTTCAGTTATAGTTTGACGAGGCCAACATAGGACGATTTCCGAAACGTCAGCAAGTTCGATTCATCAACAACCGACACAAGAGTAATCCAAAAGATTTGTATATGGTTAAAATTTTTCAATTTGCTGAAAATATGAAAAGATTTGAATAATTTTTTATATAGAACCTTATTGCAATAAAGACTGTTTAAAATGAAAACTAATGAATTAAAAAAAATATATTGCAATGGCAAGCAATAATATGGCAATTTACTTTTTGAATAGTGATGGTGGTGTATGTGATGTGAGCAAATAAAAACAAACTAATAATAATAATATAATCATAGATTGCGAAATACCCGGTATAAGCAAGTGACTTTCTTCGCTTAGGCACGAGTTCAACACCTACAGTGGGGTGGGGGGAAGGTACGTAGGGATAAGAAGGACGATGGTGGGTCGTCGGGTTTCGCTCTTTGGTGGAAGGCATTGGTGCTCCGTGATTCACTCGAAAACGGCAGGAGATAATGCGCTTTTGATTTTTTCTATATTTCAAGAGAAATAAATAATTCGCAGGTCGATTCTTTTGAAACACAAAAAAGTGTATGGTGTTTATTTTTTAGCAACATTCCGATAAAATTTATTCAAAATTCAAAAACGAGAGACAAATGGCAAAATTAGTCGTTATTATCATGTCTATGGGCACCACAAAAAAGATCCTGATTAAATTTTAACACGAACATTGCTAATAGCATAAACACCATTAGTATACCATTAGTTTAAACAATCAAATTACAAAATAAAGTGACTCACCACTCAATCGAAAATTCATTAAATACATTAAAAAGTTCTTCAGAAATTATTCAACAAGTAAGGTCAAGTTGCGGTTTTCTTTTCAGTTTGCTACTTTTTTGTGAAACTAAAAACATTTCCATAGCCTTTTTAGTTTTTAAGATTTTCAAAATGTTCCATTTTGGGGTACCTCCGTTATGGTTAAACCTATCCAAAAGGTAAAATAACATTTTTTTACATTTTTTCCGTCGAATGCAGTGCTGTAATTTTTGTTTTATATTTACTATTTTTCAGTGATAAACCAAACTTATGTATGTAACGTTCAAACTGAAGAACATTTTCTCTCCTGAAAAATAGGACATATTTGTGATTCTTTGACCTGCATTAAATAGAATCATCGGTCTCGTTTCCATCATAAGTTCTGCAATTTAAAAAAACTCAATTGAGAAGTTTCGAAATAGTATAGACCATCCGATAGGTCTGTTAGCAAAAGCTTTTAAAGAGTTTAGAGTTGTGACTTGGGGCACCATCATATTCGGCTAATGGAATATTTTCGAGCGAGCAGATCTCGAATAACACCTTCTAGGGACCGGCGTGCTAAAAGACCTCCTTCAAAAATTCTATAAACCACACGCCTGTCCAACGTAAAACATGACGTCAAAACTCCAAAACGTTACAACTAAAAATGTCCGCCGAATACATACGGTTATTAAAAAGCTCTTTTGCTTTTATAAAAAGCATTCTTGGTTAGTACTGTGCAACTTTTAATTATTTATTATTGTTATTGTTATTATTATTAAGTTATTGAATTTGAAAGGCAAATTCTAGACTCTATAAACATACAGGGTGTTCTATAAAAAACTCTACAATAACGTTACTTCTTGTTTTCAATAAATTTAAGGATAAAGAAAGTACAAACAATGCGAATGAATAATGCAGCATTCTGTAAAATACCTTGCATCTTACAAAATTAAAAAGGCTATGAAAGTGTTGCTATCTCAGTATAGCACCTTTAGTTTCATGATAAAGTAACACACTGTAGTAAGAAACCGCAATCTATTTATAAAAATAACGAAGATATTCCGAAACAAAACGGGACACCCTGTTTAAGGTGTACAGGGTAGGTAGAATATTATTATTAATATTATGATTACATTTTTTACGAAATTCAGATAGTCGCAGTGTGGCTACTCTCTTATAATTCCTTTTTCGAAATCTGAAAACCTGAAGTTTCCTAGAGAATATAATTCGTAACTTGGCAATAATTTATCCTGTATCTCTCGCCGTTTTACTAGATCCCAAAATGCTGCGGGTCCGAAACACCCGAGCAACAAACAAACGAGAAGCACCATCAATAACAAAAGAATACCTTGTCGATCTCCGCGTCCAATTGCTCCTTGGTGTGGTTGTGGTCCCTCTTAGACCTTTCCATGAGTGTTGCCCGTTTGGCAGCCAGATACAAACTGCGCTTGATTTTGAGGTACAGGACCTCCGTGGAAGCTCTGACAGTATAGTCCGGTATGAAGGTGTGACGGAGCATCGAATCTATATTCAACGATTCCAAACTGCCCATCCCAGAAGGTGCGGCGGGCGATTCTATATAATGGATTTAACAAAAAAAATAAGGTTACAGTAAAGAAAAGAAAATTTAATAGAACTTGCAGCTTTGTATATTATTTTCTTCGTTTGTTATAATTTCAGAACAATCTGTATACAGAATAACTGTATAATAATGTCTACATAAAATATCTCTTGAGAATTACTACACATTTAGAAGTCTCCACCACATTGTATTGGTGGTGGGGAGGGGGCAACTTTCAATTATTAAACAGAAATCCAATTTTTTATTACAGATTCGGATTCTATTTCAAAGTTTTCTTTTGTATTCTCGGTAGATGGCGCTGTATATTCCAGAGTGAATGTAAATTCTCGAGATATTCTACCTTCCACATACTTTTTAGACACCTAGTATTATAGTAAGGGCATACTATAAATAGTTTTAACTTACTATTTACAAATCCTTTGGATTCCTCATGCCCCAGTTGTTTATAAATCAAACTTGTTCCATCTGCTTATATATTCCTTGAAGGGGGCGGAGCTCAAGAAGGGCAATGAAGATTGCTTCTGATTCCCATATTGGTGAAAAGTAAAGACCTGAGTCGTGGTTAGAATTGTCTGGTTGCTTATAGATTTCCATGGATTCTGGGATTGTTCTTTGAGACAACATTCATGCCCCTTTTTTAGCTCCGCCCTCCTCAAACAATATATAAGCAGGTAGAGTAGAATGCGAGCCAGTTTCAGTTAAGCTCTGAAGAAGCCAACAGGATGATAGGCGAAATGTCACCTAGCTTTCTTTATAAACAAACGATTCAGAAGGAATCTAGAAGATTTGTAAATAACCTTCTGAAGAAATTGTTAATTTTGACGAGTAACGAATTCCGCTCTCATCGCAGTTGTCTGTGTTCTTTATAATTTTAATTTTTTTTTTTAAATTCTAATTTTCATTAAAACTAAAATACTAACTTCTAAGTAATCGACGCAGGAGAAATCCAGAAGATTCGTAAATAGTATTACAGTAGCCCGTGGAAGTTTTTTTTGAAAAATTAGTATTATCTCAAAAATATCAACTCAACGGGCAAAGTTTTTAAACATTTGCATTTACCGGCCAAAATTGACAAAATAAAAAAATTAGGTTATTTTTAGATTTCTTTTTCCGTATTGTACAAATATGCATCAAAGTTGATGACAAAGTTAACATAGTTTTAATATTTTAAAACCAAATAAATTTAAAGTAAAGACCGGAAATATTGCGTCGGAATTGAAGGCACGCTAAACGATTCTATATAGAGTCGTTACATATGGTCCTGTTCTGGGTTTTTCAGGTGAACCGTAAAAATCACCTTAGCGTATGCATCATATTTCCACAACATCTATGAAAACGACTATTCCTTCGATCTCCAGCTGCCAGAGAAAACCATCTTCTGCGAGATACCATAGCGGTGGAGTAGGTACACCCCACCACTCCTTGCTTTAATGTAATTTCCATTCTTTTATTCTCATTTGCGGTTTAAACCTTACTGACGTAAATTTGCTCCCTTGAGGTCAAAAACAAAAGCAAACTTCATACGAAAATAGAAAACTATTTACAAAAGCAGATTTATAAATAGTATTACAGGAGCCTGGGGAAGTGTAGAATCTACGTACCTATGCCGACGGTTTGGACGAGAGCTTGGGTCCCGAAGTATGTGAATGGTCCGCCTTCGAATACCAGATTCTCTTTACCCACGGTCACTTCGACGCGACCCTCGAGGATGATGACGAAATAATCGACGGCCTTGCCCTGGCTGTAGATGACGTTCGCAGGGTCGTAGCGCCATTCTTTGTGCTTCTTTATGTGGAAGACAATGTCCTGTTTAAGTAGCCGACGCAAGATCGTTTCCGATATCACGTTTACTTGGAATGGTTCGACACCTACGACAAAACAGAATATAAGAGAACTTTATTAAGTTATACAGACATTTTTAGCAAAAAAAAAATTTCATAATTGTTTTAAATTGTCTAAAAGATAGGTCTTTGGGAATAGGCCCGAGAACATTATATCCTCGTTCTCCTAGGTGACATCTCTGTTGAGATTCTCTATGTCGGGCTCAATTGGCTAGAGCATTACGATTCCATTCTCCTATGTTTCTCAGCTAGGACTTCTTCTTTCATCCTATGCCTCTTTTTCCTTCTATTTTTCCTTCAAGAAATAATTCAAGCTCCACGTCTCACGCCCCAGATGTTTTAATTATTTTCATGATTTATGTTAATTGAGGGTGCTTGTTCTAGTTAGGATCTCTTCATTTGTTATTCCATACATTCTTATAGAGCTGCGACCCCACATAGCACTTTTATGCTCTTAATCTCGCTTCAAGTGATAAACCTGGATTACATAGCACATTTATCATCTTTAAGAAACCTGCGCCAGCCATTTCTATCCTTCTTTCAATTTCGGTTTAACTGATGGTGTTTATCCCTCTGCCCAGATATATGTGACTGTGCACGGTTTGTACATTGGTACCGTTTATTGCAATGTTCACATGTCGTTCTTGTGCGTCTCGATTAAATACTAAGGATGGTTTCATTTCTAACCCCATTCTAGAGCATTCTTTTGTTAAAATGATCATCAAAAAGCATAATTTTTCTGAAGAAGCAAAAAAAAAAAGAAATCAAATTTTGCTGTTTATCCCTAAAATTTTGCGTGCGGAATTGTGAGTTTCAAAACGTTGCATTAATAAGTTAAATATGGATCATCATTGTTTTACATTAATTTTCTTAGATTGCGAATGCGTCAGCAGTTTGGAGTAACCATGGGTAAACCAGGGGTAAACCTGCCTGATATTGTCTATTGGTAAATAGAAGATATTGTCATTTTTACCTATATATAACAGATCTACAGCGGCAGATCATTATACAGGGTATTTTCTAGTTGAGTGTCAATAATTAAGGGGGAAACTTTTGGGCCCATTTTAAAAAGAAAACTATATATGAACATATGTCCTAAACGTCTTAACCTTTGAGATACACGGCGGTAAATTTTTCAAAAATAAAATATATATTTTTTTAATATCTTTAATACCACTTTAGATATTTTAATGAAATTTGACGCACATGTAGAATGTATCACGAGGCATTATTTAATGGACCACAATTTTTTTGCAATACACCAGTGACGGGCGCATGGAATTTCACCTGTCTGTTTCGGCACATGGTACGCCACTGATTTCTCTTAAAATAAAAATTATTCTTACAATCTCCAATCATTTCCAAAGAAATTTAATTCCTTGATTTTTTTTCAATCCGATGTACTGTTCTCGCTTAAAAAAATAAAAATCTCTTTCTCTGCATGGTCATAATAATATCGTTAATATGACAGCAATTGTTAAACAGCAATGGTAGAGCAAACAAATAGTTTTAACCTACAAATAACATACCAATATTAAATACTCATATTTTCCTTTTCCTTTTGTCCACTTTTTTTAAAATTTGATAGTTATAAAGATATTCAAAAACTTAAGAACTCAAAATAAAAATTTTGTATATAACAAAAGAAAATACTTGATCTCATATTTCGCAGATTACATATCAGCATCGCAATGGTAGTGAAAAAGTGGAAAACTCACTAGTGCTGAGATACTGGTAGGCCGCCAGAGTCAGTTGGGGGCTCATCCTCACTTTGTTCTGCTGGTCCTTCCGCTCGGCGAAAATGGAAAAGTCCTTCCTTTCCGCGTTCCTGCGCCGTTTCGATCTGTTGTCGGCTGAAAGTTTGACGTCATCAGTGCAATTTAAAAATTGAAATTAAAATATTTATAATTGATAATAAGAATTTGCTATAAATTATTGATAATAAAAAACTTTGCAGGCTCTAAGTTTAATGACGCAGTAATCAGATATTGATTTTTTTCGAAAAATATGAATTTTTTTAGAAAAATGTTGGTCAGAACTAAAAATTTATGTTCAAATATGAAAATACATCCACCTACCTTTAAAAAAAAAATCATTTTTCAAATGTACAGGGTGTGCGAAATAAAGTTCCTACTCCTGTAACTCAGAAATCTCAAACGATAGAAAAAAAGTTGTATAGTTTCACCTAGTTTTTTAATTTTTAATATATACAGGGTATTGAGTTCACCTGAGGCAAGTATCTTCATATTTTTTATGTTATTGTATTTTTTGATTCCTAGAGCAATAATACCCTAATAATACAGAAAGTTGGAACAGGAGAAGCAGCTATGAAAAACTTCTTCAGAAGGTTCATTCCACCTGCGCATTCGCAAAATTTAAGTTCTCGTTTTCAACCATTGACGTCATTTAACAAACAACATGGCCACTGACAGATGGTCAAAAAGGCGAAAGATTTATTATATCTATTTAGAAAGGAACTGGCGGATTTAAATTTGCCTACGTTTCGACAAACTGTTTCAAAAAAAGGAGTAGAAAAATTGTATCCGAAAAAATTGAAATTTTCGCAGTCTTGCGTGGTTCTTTGTTGTGATCAACTATTTTTAACAAAATTTTTCGATACTCTTAAATTCTCTTCAACAAATATCATATTTTTTGAAATACATATTTCAGGTTTCAGAAATGGCACAACTCGTTACGAAAAAATTTTTTTTTCCAAAAATTTAACATAAAAATGTTAGTTACTATATACGTACTGAATACGTCAGTTTCGTCTACGATCTCCGATTGGATCAGTTCTTCGATGACGTCCTCGAGGGTGATTATCCCGGTGGTTTCGTAGAAGGGATCCCCTTCGCCTTCGGTGTTGACCCTGGACACGAACGCCATGTGGCCCTTGTTGCCCTCCTTGAATATCTTGAACATCACGTCTAAGGTGACATCTTCGAAGACGAAGTTGCAAGGATTTTGGTAGAATTGGCACAGCGTCTTCAGCGGCGTGTTGTCGTCCGGATCGACGAATGCAAGGTCCTTAAAAACGTGAACAATGAAAAATATACACCACTGAATTAATGTGATTACCAATGTAATTGCTAAAATTTTATTAGATTCATTAAATTATATGATGTCATTTCAATAAAACCTTCTATGCAACAATCATCAAACAAACTTTCACGAAATGATTGTCCACAGGAATAAAAGCACCCCACACAAAAGTTACAATATTAAGAATTACACCCATTTCAATCACTGTATATGGATAATGCCAGCGGCTACTCCAAAATCCGCGAAAATCCCACAATGCTTACTTTAAATAAGAAGCAATTTCAGAATAGATATGCTGGAAAAGAAGCTACCGGATATTATACATTTGAATAAACATCTTTGTAAGAAATTTAGTGTTATGACTATAAGGAAGTTCCAGACAGAATTGAGGAAAATCCTCGAATAATATAATTAACACCTCTGGCAGACATCACGAGTATTCCTAAAATAATAATAAGTTTACTGATATGATGTTTCAATCTCTTCATATCGACATTTTTTACTACGTTTCGACATTATTTTCCAGTTTTGTTACTACATCCTTACTATTAACTGAAAATACGGAATTTAAGATCCCAAAGACTTTCCAAATTTGTGTCTAATTATCTCAAATTTAATTATATTCACAATCGAAATAACATATTGCTATTTATTTTCCATTTTTTCCATTTCCATTTTCCATTCCATTACCTTTGAAGAACACCAAATTACCTTAGTACTATTTTTACGTTTTGACATGACATGAGAACAGTTAATCTCAAATACTTTGTATTATCACTTATTTATTCCGGAGAAGTTAAGTTTAATCACTAACTTGTCGCTAATCAAATGTTCTTAACTGATGACGTACTGTAAAGGAGTAAAGTGTAGAAAACCATTTAAGAACCAAATAAAGGAATAAAACAAATTAATAAGTCTTATCGTTGAAGTTATTATATGTACAGATTGTTTTCTAATTGAATGCCAATAATTATAGAAGCGATTTTTGGGTCCAATTTAAAAAGAAAACTTCATATGAACATATGTCCCAAACGTCTTAATTTTTGAGATACAGGTAAGGTTTTCAAAAATAAAATATGTTTTTTTAATATCTGTAATATCACTTTAGATATTTTAATGAAATTTGGCGCCCAGGCATTATTTAGTGTACTACATTTTTTTTAAAATACACTATACTGTCTAAAAATTATTCTTACAACCTCTAATCTAAAGAACTATAATTTCTATATGGTTTTCGCTTAAAATAATAAAAACTTTTTATCTGCATGATCATAACAATACACCGTTAATATGACAGCATGCAGGGAACTATTATCATTACTATTCCTTACTTAAGTAATTGTCCATTTGTTTTATTAAAGTACGAATACAAAGTATGTAAACTCTGAGGTGTATTTTTCAAATCTTTATCATTATTTCTTATCATTGTAGTAGGCTGTTGTTTGAAAGTTGTTTAACATAGGCTTTTAAATTCAGTTCTTATTAATTTGGAGTTAAAGATATCCGAGATTTATTATTAAATAGTTGGCAGATATGCATTTTATATATGGTTTGGTTGATAGCAGTGCGCCGGAAGCTAGACGATTATATCAAGAGCGCAATCCTAAAAGAGTCATAACAGACAAACGAACATTTTCAAATAGAAAGTTCACTGAAACAGGTACTATGAGGGCAAAAAATCATCGGACTGTAAGAACTTCATAAATTGAAGAAGCAGTTTTAAATTCAATTGATGAAAATTAGTGCTTAGTACTCGACAGATTGGAAATAATCTGAATACATATCACGTCCAAACATTCAACGAGTCCAAGCACTACTTTCCAGAGAATTTGCCTTGCGTGTTATTTTTTTTTAGCAAAATTGCACACAATCCCTTGTTTAACCAAGAAATACAATCAGAACTTTCCACAATAACCATATTTGGGCCGATGAAAACCACCAAGCAGTTGTACAATTTCAACATAAAAGACAATTTTCGTTCGTGTTTGGGCTTGAATTGATGGAAATTACTTAATTGGACCCTTTTTCCTGCTAGAAAAACTAAATGACCATAATTATCGCCGGTTTTTAGAAGGGGATTTGTCAATATTGCTAGAAGAAAATTTAGGAAGAAAAATTAGGAACAGAATGTGGTTCATGCATGACGGCGCGCCCGCTCACTTTAGTGTTGCAGTAAGAGAATGTGTCACACATTTAATAACCGATGGGTAGGTCGCGGCGGATCTAAATCATGGTCCCCTAGGTCCCCAGATTTAAATAGGTTGGACTTTCTCAAAAGTCTAGTTTATCTCCGAACTACGAACTGGATGGTTTTAAATAGATATTATCTTTCACAAAAAAAGTTCTTGACTTAACCAGTGCAGTGGCAACCAAATTAAACAAAATATATATTGTTTGTTCATTGACATTGAGTGGCACGCCACTGATTTCTTAAAAAAACATTTGCATTCATTTATGAGCAGATTTGATTTCTTATTTTTTATTGTTCGTTGTACGGTTTTCACTTAAAAATATAAACTAATTTCTCGACATGCTGTCATATTAACAATATTGTTATGACCATGTAGAAAAGAAGTTTCGAGACCGAAAGCATAATTTTTATTTTAAGAGAAATCAGTGGCGTCTGTCAAAACAGGTGAAATTCAGTACGTCAGCCACTGGTGTATTAAAAAAAAATTGTGGTGCACTAAATAATGCCTCTTGATACATAGTATATGTGTGCCAAATTTCATTAAAATATCTAAGGTCGTATAAAAGCGGTTTGGCTACAGTCTTCGCCGTTTACCGCATAGCTGTACATATATCCCCTGTGAGACTTCTCTTTTGCATAGGTTCATCAATTCCTGCCTTCCAGCTTTTCCGTCGTCTGGCTCTTTTCCTTCTTTGTGGCGGCCTCCATACATAATTTTTTTTGGGTATTCTGCCTTCGCTCATTCGACTCGTATGTCCAAACCACATTAGTTGTTTTTATTCAATAGTATCTAATAGTCTCTTTTCTACATTCATTCTGTTCAAAATTTCGTCATTTTTGATTTTGTCCATTATTGTGGTTTGATAGTACTGTCTCCTGTAGAAGCTGATTTTTCTTTCATAGCCTTTGACATTTTCCAAACCTCTGACCCATACGCACTTTGCACAAACGCATTAAACATTCTCCTCTTAGGTCATTCCATAACACTGGGTGTAATTGACGCATAACAATTTTTCCTTTATTAATTTTGTTTTGTACGTCCATTTCGTCTCTTCCGTCCGATGTTACAGTCACTCCGAAGTACTTATACTGGTTTGTATGTTTAATAGTTCTCACAGCGGTGTGTAAATCTTGTCGGTTTAATTCAATAGTCATATACTGGGTTTTCTCCATATTTATTTCCAGGCCCAACTTCCTGTATTCTTCTACAAGCTTTCTAAACATATAGTTTATATCGTCCTCATAATATTACTTGATCGTCAAAGTGTGACAGATACAACATCCCTGTCTCAGACCTTTATTTACCAAAAATCCTTGAGAAGTTTAAAAGAACTGTTTCAAACCATCCCAAACTTATCATATGCCTTCTTGAGGTCTACAAATATAAGGTGTAATAAGCTGTTATCTTGATTCGGGTTTAAAGGCCGTCGTCGGTTGGAATTACTTCCTAACGTTTCGCTAGCACGAATGGCGAGCTTCTTCGGAGGCCCTTCCATCTCCGATGTTGGACGTAGACTAACGATTTCTGCTGCGCAGGTTGTATTTATGCCGATTGGTGGTGGGCGGGGCTTGTTCTGCTTCGGTTGGTCTCGGGATATCGATCGGGTGTTTTTGCATCTCAATGGCTTCCCTGACTAGTCTGTTGTGATAGCCGTTGACCGATGCTAGTAACTTACAGCTCTCAAAGTGTATCCTGTGTTCCCCGCTGTCCAGTGCGTGTTCAGCTACTGCAGACTTCTCTGTCTGTCCTAGCCTGCAGCTTGCTTTATGCTCCTTAAGTCTCGTTCCCATTGATCTCTTGGTAGTCCCGATGTAGACCTTTCCGCATGAACACAGAATGCGGTAGACTCCTGCAGCTGAAAGTGAGTCCCTCTTGTCCTTCGCTGACCTGATGGTCTGCTGGATCTTCTTTGTAGGCTTAAAGATTGTTTTGATGTCGTGTCTTTTCAATACTCTGCCAATCCTGTCGGTGACACTCGGAATATACGGCAAATATGCGTGGGAGGTGGAGGGTCGTTGTTCGGTATCCCGTGATCTTGATGATCTTGAGTTCATTGATCTCTCGATCTCCCTCTTGCTGTAGCCATTTGCCTCGAACGCAGTTTTCAGGTGTTCAAGTTCCATCTGGAGGTTCTCCCGTTCGCAAATCCTTCGGGCTCGTTCTGTCAGGATTCTGATAACCCCATACTTTTGACTTGGGTGATGGTTGGATAGAGCATGCAGGTATCTGTCCGTATGGGTTGGTTTTCTGTTCACTGTGTGGCCCAGCTTGTTGCCTCGCTTCCTCACTAGTACGTCTAAGAATGCAAGTTGTTGGTCATTTTCAGTCTCCATAGTAAACTGCCCACCACCAATCGGCATAAATACAACCTGCGCAGGAGAAATCGTTAGTCTACGTCCAATATCGGAGATGGAAGGACCTCTGAAGAAGCTCGCCACTCGTGCTAGCGAAACGTTAGGAAGTAATTCCAACCGACGACGGCCTTTAAACCCGAATCAAGATAATAGCTTATCAACGGGCCGCGAAAGCCTTAACCAATTTATAAGGTGTAATTCTCTCGAGCAAGCTATAGTTTTTTTGGCTAGTTGTTTCAGGAAGAAACCACTCTGCTCTTCTGCATCTTCAATTTCAATTTTTCAATTTTCAATAAACGTCCATACAGTCTACCAATAGAAGATGTTACACTTATCCCCCTGTAGTTTTCGCATAACTTTTTGTTTCCTTTTTTATGAATGGAGCTTCTATGAGCTAATTTCATCTCAACTCATCCGGAATTTTTTCCCCTTTCAGGTATGTATTAAATATAGATTTGAGCTCACCTACGACAGCTGAGGGAGACGCCTTTAACAGTTCTACCGGTATACCTCCAGGACCAGACGCTTTATTATTTTTCATAAATCCCAATGTATGTTCTACTTCTGTCTGTGTAAACTCTGGTTCCTGTTTTCCAAGCGTGCCTCGATTTGATTTTTGCTTCACTTCGTATTTCATTCTGTTGCAATATACTTTGTCTTGGTAGTTTTTTGTAGTCAAAAATTTTAAATAGGCTCGTTTCTTGTCCTCCACTAATTCTTCTAATTCTGTTGACTACCAGGAATCGTAGTTTCTGTTTTTGCAATTTCTTTGCTTCTGACTTAACGCTTCTTTCGCCGCCTCATGGATGAACTTTGTCAATTTGTTATATTTGTTTTCTATATTTTGTTCTCCTATAGTTTTAAATTTTCCCGTCAGTCGTAACTTATACAAGAACTTCTTTTAAGCTTTCTATATTGTACTTTTTAGTTATCTCCTAGATGTCTGTGTCTTTATACCGGAAAATGGTCTGAACCGCATACTGCTCCTCTTATAAATTTCACGTCATACCATTTAATTGCGGACTTTTGATTTACTACGATATAGTCAATTATTGATTTCAGATATTTTTAAAAATTGTACTGAAGTGGCTTTTACTTGATGAAAATCCATTTAAAATAGTTAAACGGTACCGATGTTTATAAATACAAAACAGGTAGTAATTACTTAATGTGAGGTATTAAATCGAGATTTAACAAGGGGGATCCATTCAAATCCAGTTGGTCATTAAGTAATACATTCGAACCTCCCATCTTATTAATCTCCATAGCTTCTAGTAAATTTAATTTTCTACTTTTTGAAACAGTGTGTAAAATATCGAAATTGTCGTCAAAATTGTGTTTTTCTAAATTTAAATGTATAGCTTAATTAGAATCTCAACTATTGTTTCTAAATGATCGTCGATGTTTGTTGATACGTTTTTTGAAAGATCTACCTGTTTGTCCAATATAAATCGTAGAATATGATCCGCAATTTAATCTATAGACTCCAGAATTCTGGGATCTATTAGATTTAGATTTATTGTTTTTAACAAATTTTCCTAGGGTGTTATTAGATTTAAAAGCAATTTTGAGGCCACATGTCGAGAGATGGTCTGAAACTTTATTACTAGATTCTCCTATGTATATTAATGTTTTAAAACCTTGAGATACAGTAATTGAACGGGGATATATAGAATTCAAAGTTTTTTGAAATTGTTTCTTAGTTAAATTTTATCTATCAGTGACGGGTCATATCCATTGTTGAATGCTATTTATTTTATAACATTTAATTCTTTTTCAAAGAAAGAGGGATAGTTATCAGCCTATGAATAAAAGAATAAAAGGCAGCCATTTTGTGTGTATATGTGGATGATGTTTTTGCGTGTTTCGTAGGCACTGAGAGACAATTAGATACCTTTTTAAATTATATCAACTCTTCACACAATCGCATAAAATTTACTACTGAGATCTTTCTTGGATTTAACGATAACTAAAGCACAAAACAAATTAGATTGTTCAATATACCATAAACCTTCACACACAGACACTATAATACACGAGCGTTCAAACCAGTCATTTAAATATATTTATGTGAAAATCTGAACAACGTTTGTTCTTATTTAACTATTGTATATTTTTATTTTATATTGACCACATATTTCAATAAGAAATAAGAAAACTTGACCACCCTGTATCTCAAAAGTAAGACGTTTAGGACACCTGTCCATATGAAATTTCTTTTTAGAATGGACCCGGTGATCTCTTTTACAGTCGCAAAGAAGGCAGTAAAGTTACCGAAATGACGACCACATAAGAATTTTATTTTTCATAAACCCCGGTCCACGAACCAATGGATTTCGCTTTCACCTACGCTTACCTTAATGTAGAGCATGGTGACGATGTTCTGTCGGTGGCCCTCGTAGACCGGTATTCTGGAATAACCACTTTTCATTATTTCAGAAACGGTTTCGAAATCCAAAACGGCCTCGTAATCCAGCATAAAGACGTCCTCTATTTTTGTCATAACGTCGGACACGGTTTTCTTTCGTAGCTCCAGAGCGCCGCTGATGATGTTCACTTCGTCCTTGTCCAAGTCGTTATCTCCTGTAGTCACCTGGAAGGGAAGTATGGTTTATTTTTAAGCAGTACTCTAAATTTACTTATTTATAAAGTACCCCTCAAACGTTCCGCCGCTGGCCGAAAATTGATATTTATAATTTTAGATTCACAGCCATATGCCATTATTGTTTGGCCCACTAATTTCGGGCCACCCTGTATATAAGTTTCAAAATAAATAATGAATTATCAGCGAAGCGATGCACCAAATAGTCAAATGTACGCCCTCGTTACATGGTAACCGGACAACTTGGAAAGGAAGCGAATTTAACCACAGAGTTCTGAAGTTTATTTTCTTGGTTGACGCCATTTCTGATATCGCTCGAAGTTTTCATGCCGACTAATAATTTCTAAATTTAGCCGAATCGAAGGAGCTAAGTTCACCGGAGTTTTAGTTAGACGAAATTGTTCAGATGTGGATAACCACTAGAACTGGAGAAAAAGCCTTTGCAGTATAATAAGATAAAAAACTTCAATGGAAAATTTTGCTACTAAATTATTATAGAACTTTTTAAAAAGAACCCAATTACTTTTTACAAAGGTTCTGGATTCCTCCTGCGTCGGTTTTTGCTGAGTCGAAATTGCTGTTCCAGTTTCAGTCAAGCTCTGGAGAAGCCAACAGGATGATTGGCGAAACGTCAGCAATTTCGACTCAGCAAAAACCGAAGCAGGAGAAATCCAGAAAGAAGCCTGTGGAAGTTTTTTGAAAAATTAAGAACCAAATTATCTTGAAAAAAAACGTCATCTTATCAACCTTCAAAAGTCAGCGTACAATTCCTTTTAACTTCTGACCAACTTATATTTAATTTTTATTGTTTTATAGTCTTTGGCTGATTTAGGGTACTCTTCCATTTGTTATTATTTTAATTGAAAATAAAAGTGAAATAAAGATACAAGAAAAAAGTTCTCAAGAACATCGTGTTAAAAAAAAATACTTTTTATTACGAAACATCTCAAAAATTAAACGCAATAAGTAAAATTTATATTTCCAGTTAAATGTGACTTTTATCGACTACACTGATACTAATTTTGAAGCATGGGGGCGACATTTTACAAACACTACTATAAATAGGTCAGCTTCATTAACCACTGTCGCTAGTCACTTCGGACCTTTCCGATAGTTTAGCAGGCACTTTAGTCACTTGCTTATAAAGCACCCTTGACTAAAATATACTATATTATGTCGTTACAAAAGAAATAATAAAATGAAAAATCCGCTTTGCTCGATCCAAATGTTATGTTATATATATGTTAGTTGTGTGTCGAATGGTTATTTTTATGCAATCGGCCTCGATTGTTTATTTACTTGGAAATAACAATAAGTGCGAGATATATAGAATGCGGTTGGTGTGAAAATAATAATAAACCCATCCAGAGAAATAACAGAACAGAACACACTAATTTATAGGGGGTGTCGCGGATCAAATTAAAAGAGCTAGTATTGTGATTGTTTGAAATTTTCCTGTTATTGGCGAAAAAATATTGGCCGCTATGTTACTTCGTTTTTCTATACAATAATGATTAAAATTGCAGGTTCTAAATAAGCTATGACATATACTTAACGACTACGCAATTTAATTTTTCTGTATACGATGTGTATGAAATGTTTTTACCATAGATTTAGATTTGCGAAAGCACCAGCATTGAATGAAAATGTTGATATTTATTAGAGTAGTTTTCTGAAGTCAGGCGTATCGTAATTAGGATTTGCAGAAAATCTGCGGAAAACCAAAAGCTGCAATTTGTAGCCGTCATCACTTTGAAACTTGTGACTTCGATTTTCGATGCAATTTTGAGACTCACATCAGTCTCCTTGAAGAAATCTTAAAATAAAATATATATTAAAAATGTGATTTCATTGAGCTAGTAGTTTTTTGCAAAAATTCACTTCAATTAAATAAAATATTTTGAAATATTCTCAGTTTTAAGTTTAAGTTCTAAGTTTCTAAGTATTTTAGGAAGTTAAATTATTATAAATTTTATTTTCTACAAATCATTAAAGAAAACATTTTCTTGATAATTATATGTAATTCCAGCAAGAAATATATCGGTAAATTGCCGTCTTTTCTATTGTAAAACTTAACCGCCAAATTGTAATACGACAATACAATATTTACAACGTGTTACGACGTATGGCATTTGAGATAATCAATTTAGTACGAGTATGATTAGATTACTGTGTTACTCTTAAGAAAATCAACCCAAAACACTACATCATATATATAACAAATTACGTCGAATGTAATCTAAAAACAATAGAAAATTTAGGGGGATAGTATGGGTGGTTCGTAGAGAAAAAAAGTTATGGAATGGCCAACTCAATAGTCTTAATTCCCATCGAGAATCTTTGGGAGATTTTAGAACAAAATTCTAAAAAAAAATTAAAAGTAGAAGAATTTAAAACCGTTTAACGTTGTGACTGCAAATGAAGATTATTGGCTCAAATATTAACCGTAAACAATCAATAACCATTGTTTGCGTAAAAAACGTTAATTTTGCAATGAAAAGAAGTGATTAATTCATTTTTCTTTGAAAACTATTAATCCCTCCTGTAAAATACCTAATTATACATGAATGAATTTTGAAATTTGTCGCGTTGTTTTGTAAAAATGTATGGTCGTAGAAGAAGTATAGTATGCAAGACGTTTGGTAAATTTGTTAAGTCACTCGCTCCGCTCCTGCAAAATAAACACTGCAGCATCGTCTGAGCAACAACAACTTTGCTCGTTGAGCAAATGAAACATTATGCAAAAATTAACAGACTGATATTAAATGAATGTAAAACTAAGATGAGCGCCTTTTCAATACGGGATTTAAATAAGAGTTTATTTGTACGCTTCAATGAAAGCACAATCCAACAGAAAAGAGTTGTAGAGTTTGTGTAGACTCGAGACTCTCCTAGTTCGAACAGGTGGACCACATTCTCAAAAAACTTTCTGTTTACTACTTTGTCATATGGAGGCCCCGCCATCAGGTTTCTTTTCCCTTGTTAAAAATATAATATTTTTCCTATGTCTATTCCTGTCTCAACTACGCCTTGGTTTGATGGGGAGGTTCCCCACGAGCGGAGCAAGTCTGTAGGATGCAGAAACGCATTTTACGGACTCTACTGTTTAGCCTGTGGAATTTTTTATGTCGAGACCTATTTTCACAACACTCTTTATTAACACTTACTAGTGTGTACATACTAAATTGTGCCACTTATCTAAAAAGTAACTCTAATCTTTATATGCTCTCAAGAAACTCAGATATTCAGTACAATTTAAGACCGAATCTTAACATAAAAATACCGACTGTCTCTTACATCAAATAGTCCCTTTGTTTTGACTGTAAAAATTTATAATAACTTGAGTATCGAACTGAAGGAGATAGCTAGTCAAACAAAATTCAGATGCACTCTTAAAGACAAATTGCTACGCATCGCCTATTACAATATTAAGGATTTTTTTTCTTGTGATACCTTTTAATACGTATTCGTTGTCTGTTATTGTTTATACATTTGTCATTTATCTAACATTATTACTTATTACTATTATTGTTAAGTAATTAATTATACCAAGATAATTTTATATTTTTACATTCGTATTATACTGACAATATCCAACACTTGTAACTCAAGCCTTATGGAAATAAAGCTATCTTTATCTTTCTAAACTCGTGACTCGAATGCCGTTTACCGCACTTGTTGCATAATATACTATTATCCGTTTATTAAGTTTTGTTTTTAATTAAATACTGCATATGAAAATAACGAATAATTAATTACGTCTGCTACTGCCTCGAATTTTGCCAACATTCTTAAGGAAACAGTTTTTTTTTATATGGCAGTAGACATTTAAACGTAACATGAACAATTGAGGACGGTTTAACATTCACAAAACGTCAAAAATAATAAACCCACCGGTCGTATTCTAATAAAATGTCGTCGTGTAAAAACGTAGCGCACCGCGTCAGTTCGGACCGGATAAGTCCGGATTTTATCGATATCCAAAGGACGGAAAATCGGGCGGAAGCAAAAATAATGAGAACCATTCGACCGCGGAGGAATCAGAGAAGAAAAAAAAAGTGAAAATTGCTCCGGATTTAATAATAACTTCACAGTTTCTGTATTATTGCTTTCACCTTTTTGCGGGCGACATTGATTCCGTGCGTGTAGTTATTAGATAATACAGGGTGTCCGGAATTTCATTAATTTAAGGGTGATCTACTTCGATGATTAACTTTCAATTTAACACATTTATTACTAAAGTTCTTTTTCTATTTTTAGAGCAGACAGTATAAACAAGTCCCTCGTGGATCGTAATACGAGGTTAGCGCCAAAATTTCCCTGCCTGACATAGATGCAGCTCCAGTATCACGATAAAACTTTGTCTTCTTTTAAATATATATCTTAGTACGCTGCGAAAAAAAAAATTGAAATCTTGCGTTAAATAGTTTTTTATTGACAGCATTTTAAACAAGCCGTGTCTGAAAAAATGTCGCACGTAACGCAAATTGAGTATAGAGCAGTCATAAAGTTTTTGACAAAAGAAGGGTTAGCACCTAAAACTACTAAAGAAAGGCAAAGTTCTCTTTCCTATTCTGTAGTGAAAGAATGGGCAAAACGTTTTCGAATGGGGCACGAGTCCCTTGAAGATGATTCAAGAACTGGTCAACCAGTGGAAGTCATAAGGAGATGTTGCGATTGTGGAAGAGGTGATCGACGTTTAAAGGTCAAGGAAATCTCGGAAATTACTAACCTTTCTGATACAAGTGTTCGTCGAATCCTGCATGATCATTTAGGTATGCATAAGGTTAGTGCAAGATGGGTTCCTAAAAACCTTTCGGATATTTAAAAACAACGCCGTGTCGAGTGTGCGCGGTCTTTTTTGGAACTCTGTGGGTTGGAACCGAAGCCTGTGATAGAAACTATTGTGACCGGAGATGAAACTATGGTTCTCTATTATGACCCTCTATCGAAAAAAGAATCAATCGAGTGGCGTCGTAAGGGGCCACAAT